CTGTCGGGAGGATGGCTATGATGCCTGTTTGGAAACTGAAACTGCGGAAGCTCAAGTGTGTATTGCTATATCTATGGCTGCTTCTGGTGGTCCACCTTCTGTCACCTCTATTCAGTTCATGGGGCACATTCAGGGTCATCCAGTTCGCATCCTCATTGATTCTGGCAGTAGTCACACCTTTGTCAGTGCTGCTTTGGCTGCTCAGTTGCAAGGTCAGTCTATGCTCTCACCTCAAGGTCATGGTGGCCGATGGTTCCCAGTTGCTTTGCTCCTATCAATTTTAGAACCTCGTTTGGACTGTTCAGTCTCATGATTTTGTATCTCAAGCTAAGGTGTTGCCGCGGTCTTCCTATGACCTCATTGTGGGCATGGATTGGTTGGCTTCTTATAGTTCGATGCACATTGATTGGCAACACAAGTGGCTGCTTATTACACAAGGTCAACAGCAGTGTTTCTTGCAGGGTTCTCTTTCAGCTCTGCCACCAGGTTCGATGGTGCAGGTATCAGCAGTGTTATCAGATGATTTAGTTGCTGGTCAGGGAGCAGTACCACCGGAGGTCTCGGCACTCTTAGCTGAATTTCAGTCAGTCTTTGCTCCTCCTTCAGGTTATCCTCCAGCCCATGATTGTGATCATGCCATTCCTTTGCTACCGGGAGCCAGTCCATTTTTGGTCCATCCATATCGCTACCCTCCAGCTGTTAAGGATGAGATCGAGCGACAGATTTCAGATATGCTACAGTCTGGAACCATTCAACACAATAACAGTCCCTTTTCTTCATCAGTGTTGCTAGTCAAGAAAAAGGATGGTACCTTCCGCTTTTGCGTTGATTTCCGACAGCTGAATGCCCTGACTGTCAAAGCTAAGTATCCGGTACCTGTTATTGAGGAGCTACTGGATGAGTTGACCCATGCTTCTTGGTTTTCTTGTCTGGATCTCACTGCAGGATACCACCAGATCCATTTGAAAACCGGCGAGGAATTTAAGACGGCCTTTCAAACTCATTCGGGCCATTACGAGTTTCGAGTTATGGCCTTCGGTCTCACTGGAGCTCCAGCTACTTTCCTGAAAGCTATGAATACCACTCTTCGGTCCCTCTTGCGCAAGTGTGTGTTGGTGTTCTTTGACGATATCCTCATTTTCAGCTGTACTTATGAAGAACATTTGGAGCACATTGGTCAGGTGCTCGAATTACTGCAACGTGATCAGTGGCAGGTCAAGATGTCCAAATGCCGCTTTGCTCAGCACCAGTTAAGTTACCTTGGTCATATCATTTTGGCTGAAGGTGTTGCCACTGACCCAGAGAAGATTCAGGCAATGGTCCAATGGCCGTCCCCCCAGACAGTAAAAGAGTTGCGCAATTTTTTGGGTCTCGTAGGGTATTACAGGCGTTTTGTCCAGAACTTCGGCATTATCTCGCATCCTTTGACTGAGCTGTTACGAAAGGGAGCTATTTTTGTCTGGACAGAGTTGCAGGAGCAGGCCTTTTCAGCTCTCAAACAGGCACTTACCTCAGCTCCCGTGCTAGCCCTTCCGGACTTCAGTAAACCATTTTCAGTTGAAACTGATGCAAGTGGTACTGGTATTGGGGCAGTGCTGATGCAAGGTGGCCATCCATTGGCCTACTTGAGCAGAGCTTTGGGCCCTTGTTCATGGGGTTTGTCCACTTACGAAAAGGAATATATGGCCATTCTGATGGCTTTGGAGCAGTGGCGCAGCTACCTTCAACATGCTGAGTTCCAGATAGTTACTGATCATCACAGTCTTGTGCAACTCACCGAGCAGCGCTTGCACACTCCTTGGCAACAGAAGGTGTTCGCTAAATTGGTTGGCCTTTAGTACAAGATCGTGTATCGCAAGGGTGCTGACAATGGCGTGGCCGATGGTTTGTCTCGCATTTCCTCTAGTCAGCTTGTTGCGGTTTCAGTCTGTCAACCGCAGTGGCTTGCGGACGTGCTTTCATCATATGCACAGGATGTTCGTGCTCAAGAGATCCTTACTAAGCTCTCCGTTACACCTGATGCAATGCCGGGTTTCACTTTGAGGGATGGCTTGCTCCGTTATGACAATCGAGTTTGGGTGGGTCACCACAAGGATCTGCAAGCTAAATTGATTGCAGCAGTGCATTCAACAGCTATTGGGGGACATTTCGGTGTAGCTGTTACTTATCGCCGTCTCAAGCAACTCTTTGCTTGGCGAGGGATGAAGTCAGTTGTCTAGGATTTTGTTGCTGCTTGCACTGTCTGTCAACAGGCCAAACCGGATTGAGCAAAACTTCCAGGTCTATTGCAACCTCTTTTGGTTCCTGATGGTGCTTGGTCAGTCATCTCGATGGATTTTATCGAAGGGCTTCCATCTTCAGGCGGCTTCAACTGCATTTTAGTGGTGGTCGATTTGTTCTCCAAGTACTCTCATTTTCTAGCCCTCAAGCATCCATTCATTGCTGCCTCTGTTGCTCAGCTATTTCTCTCGCAAGTGTATAAACTACATGGTCTTCCCCAAGCCATCATCTCAGATCAGGATAAGATCTTTACTAGCAAATTTTGGCGCGAGTTATTCAAGTTGGCTGGTGTTGAGTTGCGCATGAGTACGGCGTACCACCCATAGTCCAATGGTCAGACAGAGCGGGTGAATCAGTGTCTAGAAACATTTCTCCGCTATTTCACTCATGTCTGTCCTCGCACTTGGCGGCAGTGGCTGGACCAAGCTAAGTTTTGGTATAATACAAATTGGCATTCTGCTCTCGGGCGCTCACCATTCGAAGTTTTGTATGGTTATGTTCCCAGGCACTTTGGCCTTGCTGACAGCTCGGAAGTTCCAGTGGCAGATTTGGCCACCTGGGTGGCTAACAAAGATCTTATGCTTGATGTCATTCGGCTGCATCTCAACCGTGCCAAGCAACGCATGAAGAAGTATGCCGATCAACATCGTTCTGACCGTCACTTTGAGGTAAATGATTGGGTGTTTGTGAAGCTTCAACCATATATTCAGTCTTCCTTGAGTCAGCGTGCCAATCAGAAGTTAGCTTTCAAATTCTTCGGACCGTACCGGGTGGTTGCACGTGTAGGCACCATGGCCTATCAGTTGGAGCTGCCGGCCTCTTCATCTGTGCATCCGGTCTTTCATGTGTTGCAGTTGAAGAAGTCCATTGGTGCTCAGCAGACTGTCACAGCTCATCCTCCTTCAGCTGATGTGATTTGGAGTATTCCTGAATGGATCTTGCAAGTCCGATCTGTGTTCAAAGGTACGCGTTCCATATTTCAAGGACTGATCAAGTGGTCTCGTTTGCCAGTTTCTCTAGCCACATGGGAGGACTTGGAGCATCTCCGGCAGCAGTTTCCTCGCGCCGCCGTCTGGAGTCGGCTTGGCGCGCAAGGGGGAGAGGATGTTACGCCCCATGATGCGGACCCGTGCAACGCAACAGAAGAGGAGGCAGCAGCACATGGGCCTGGGCCGCACCTGAGGTGCTCTAGCAGAGCAAAGGTGCCGAGCACGCGCACCAGCGGGGATGAGTGGGCGACGGCGTGAAGCGGTGGCCTCTGGATACAGATCGGATATATGTGTAATAGGTTAGAGGAGAGAGGGGTATCAGAAAAGTGTATCAATCAACTTGTCTCCTACAAGCTTCCTCTGAACCTTCCCCTTGATTTGCTCTCCTTTTTCCCCCTTTCCAATCAACTGCTACTTGCCTCAATCTGAAGAACTTGTTGGTTTGTAACAACCTCTTACCCAGAGCGGAGGAGGAGGGGAACCCCGCAAGCTCGAGGCCTCGTGCGCGAGCAGCCGCGGCGGTTTTTGGCATCAGCTGCCGAAACCCCGAACCCTAACCAATCTGGCGCCGATGCGAAGCTGCAGGTGACGGGGCAGACGAGCTGCGTCAAGTGTCAGCGGAGCACACCGGCGGTGACCGGGGGAGGGGCGACGAAGGCGGATGGGGTAGCGCGGATGCTGGGATCCGGTGGCGGAGGTGCCTCGAGCGAGAGCGGCGGCGTGTCCCAGGGACCGATGCATTTTTTTATTTTTGAAAGGCCGACGCGAGAGGGGGATAAGACGCAGTGACTGAAACGGAAAGTAGCAGACGGAAGGAGAGGTAGCAACCTTAAAGGGAAAGTGTGTGCTGCTAGCTCGCGCAATGCACGCGCGCTAAATAAGATTTGGGACATAATCACCTCCCATCCATCATTTTCCCCGTTCTTATCCTTTTTCGCACACCCGTGGATCAACTCTTCGGGCTAATATGGAAACTCAAATCCCCTTTATATCCCTGACTTTTTCTAGGATGGAAAATTCATGGGGAATAATTATTTAGTTCTTTATGTAGGGTTTTTCATCTCTGGGTGTGCCTCCCCTTTGCTTCCAAATTAGCCCTTCGGCTAGATACGTGAGGGCGCCACACACCCCACCACTGCCGCCCATCTGTCCCAAGCGCCGCCGCCTGCGCACCCCGGCACCGCGGCACGCCGCCGCCGGCGCACCCCGGCATGGCCCCAAGCTCCCGAAGTGCCACCGACCGCGTGCCCCAGGCGCTGCCCCCCGCGGGCCCCAAGTGCCGCCACCCACGTGCTCCAGATACCGCCGACCAGAGGTGCTACCCTCTACCCACCGTGTGCCCCAGCTACTGCTTGTACGTCCATCTACTCTACCCAGCTCCGCAGCCGGTGTGCCAAAGCTTTAGATTTCAGAACCGAAAGAGAGAAGCCAATAATTTGTTTCCTCATTTCTGGCTAGGAATTTAGGTTCGGATTCAGTAAAGTTGCTGCCGGTGAAAGCAACCAATAATTTGCTTCCTCGTTTCCACTGGGCTTTCCAATTTCCTCTCTAGCTTTGTAGTGATGGAAAAACTATTCACACAGGCCATTGAGTTCTCGTTGTGTACTATTATACTATGTTGATCTGTAAATGGTGCAGCTATGGTTTGGAAAGTACAGGCAGGCGACTGTCACATGCCAGAACTAGGTGTTCCTTCACGACAAACAGATATCTGTACTCAACCCAGGGCCATCAGAATGTGTATGACCGCTGGAAGGTGTCGATGTCCAGGCCCTTGAGCTTCACGACTGACTCCACATGCCCCTGCAGGGTGTGAAGCTCCCTCAACCTGCAAAGGAACATCAACCAGCCAATGGTTAGCTCACATCGACATTATACATCTGATACATGTTGACACTATGTGAGATGTTCCAAGGGAAGAAAGATGCTTCCCATCATCAAAGGCATGCGAATGGATATAATTCGAATTAGTTAGTGTTCTTTACTTCTTTTTCAAATTATCTCAGCGGATTATAAAAATATCCCAGAGCATATGAGAGATCATGGAAAACACTGATATTGGTATCCTTTCTTTCCCCAAAGTGATACTATCGTATCATTATCCTTTTGCAGAAGATTATCTCCGCGGATTTTATCTTACCTTGCAATCTCAGCCCTCCGTTTCGCCTCTTCGGCCAATTCATTCAGCTCATTCACCCTCTCAGGGAATAGCTTGGCATCCGGTGGCTGTAGCGCATGGAGCGTCCTTTGCGCATGTGCCCACTGGAGCTCCCTCTCTTCCTTACCAAAGTCCTTCTTCCTTGTAAATGCAAGCTGCAAAACCAGCAATTTTAGCAACGTGTGCATGAAATTCACTCAAACAAGTGATGTGCTGTGCATGACAAACGAGCAGTTTAAATTACTTTTTGCTCAATGGCAAGATCCCATGCTTTCCCACTCAGAGCATATCGGATGAGGAACTAGAGCATTCTTCTGCTGATCCTTCTTACTTCTTTAGCAACTATCACACATTAATTTATATGGGACAGGATAAATACAAAGCTAAGGCCATTGAGTTAAATGGACCAGATTTTGATTGGTTGCATTCTCCAGTGGATGCTAGAGCTCTTTATGAATGCTCTTGTGGTCACCCACATGGAAAATGGGCCACATTTAATGGTAGGATCAATGACAGAAGTCCTCTCTGACTTAAGGAGAAGTGGTGCCTGTGCAATGGCTGCTAGACGTCAACGCCAAGAGGAAGAGGAACGATCAAGGAAGTAAGCTCATGATAGTCGCGTGGCCAAGGAATATGCGCAAAATATGTTGGAATGGGGTAGAATGGTGCATGCTCACAATGAGAACATCCAAAAGTTTATGGATGTGACATCTCACATGCATCCTTCCTTATTCATCTTAGTAGTACCAATGAGCAACTTTTTAATTATCATACATTGGATTGGATTGTTGAACTGCGCTGTTGTTCAATACACCGGAATGCCTACAACGTTAGTTCCTCCTCCTCTGCCTCCCCCACCAGCGCCTCCTGTATATGCCGATCCATCATCTTCAAATCCCTCTCCCAACAATGTAAGTTTGATGATTAGCATGCTTTTTTCCATCTTTGTATTTTTCCTGTATGTAACATGTTGACAAATATTACGCTTAACTCCTGGATCATCTTTGGTAAGGCAAACATACTTTGGTCAGTTGTATCTATGTTCTGTCAACAAACATACTTTGGCTTCTACACATTAATTATTTAAACAATTCTTCAAATGAAGATTAAAATGAAATTCTTAAATAAATTTAGGAAAGGACCAAATCATGAATCAGGACCTCAGGCTCGTATCACTTGCCTTGAATCAAACAAGCTGTTCCAGTCTTCCTAATAGCTTCCACACCTAATGAACACCTGATGCAGTACCAGTACCAGCTGATTGCCTTTTTGAACTATAATTTTCGTGATGTAATATATTTTTGAATAAATATCAATGTAAGCTGAAAGATTTGTCATCATATCTATCTACCTGGCCAACCCTTCAGTTGCATTATAGTACTGGCAGTTTCTATGTAGTAGTCCTGTAGAGTTTCAACTGCTTGGTATGTGCATTATTTGTTCTCTCTCTTTTTTTCCTTTTTCCCATGCAAGTAACATAGGCTTAGTAATATCAGTTGTGCATCACGCAGGACATGGAACTTTGTCATTACCTTTCAGTGCAATATGTATTCAAACTTGTTAAGTTTTTTTCTCACACTTCAACTTATTTAATTGATTTCCCTGTTTAATTGAATAGGCTTGTACTGGTGGCTCTTCTGTTGGAATAGAAACTCCTGATGAAACATTGAGTAGAATTGCTCTTGGAAGATTCTGTGGCCATGAAAATGCAGTACAAGTGGTGGTGGTACCTACTCTCCGCCGCTGGATGATTTTCCATTGTTTTGACATCTTTTGTTGCCAAAACATGGCTTGGACAACATGTAGTATGTTTTGTTGCCATAACATGCATGGAATGGACAAGAACACCTTTTGGATCTATTGTTTGTTGTTTTGAGGCTTAGTAGTTTTTTAGTGTAAAATACAGCACGGGAGGCCTCCACTATAGAGATTTCTTAGGGAAAAAAGGAGGCACTGTACAAAAGGGAGGCTTTACCTAAGCCAGAACACGCAAGGAGACCTGTGAAACTAGGAGAGGGAATCTATACAGAGGGGGAACTCATGACGTTTGTTTTCACAAAATCTACAAGCCTGCAATCTGGCCTCTTCACAGAAGAGGCACTTCCAAGACTCCCGGAAAGGACGGCCCCTGTCAAAGATGAAGCTGTTTATTTGCTTCCAAATCTTCCAAGCAGCAATAATGAAGATCTCCATAAAGGAGTGTTGGAACTGCTGTTTTGCCTGTCTCATCATTTGAAAAAATCTCTTGCAAAGTCCCAGTGAATTCCTAAGAGCCGCCAACAGGCTTGACTAAAGGGGTAGCTGAAGAACAAGTGAAAGGCAATTTCTTCAATGTTGTTGCTACATAGAACACAATTATAGTTGTTGCCTTCTAGCTTATGCTTCTTCCTCTTTAGAATGTTCCTTGTGTTTAGCCTATCCATAAGAAGTAGCCATGAAAAGACTCTGAGCTTGTTGCAACATTTAGAGTCCCAAATCCAAATAAAGGGTGCTAGGGGCTGAATATTCCTATAAGGGAAATTGTAGAATTTTGAGGATGTGTATCTATTGGTCTCCCAGATGTAATGTCATGAATCTTTTGTGTTCAGCTGAACCTGGATAGTCTGAATATAACTCTGGAGGCTTTGATATTCCTGATAACCTTGTTCTGATAATGGGAGATGAAATTGGTCCAGATTGTTGTTTGTCAAAAATTGTGAAACTGAGATCTTTTTGTTCCTTGCAAAAGAGAAAATTCTAGGATACTTGATTTGCATTACATTGCCATTCCATTGGTAAAACCAGAATAGGACAATAGATCCATCTCCAATGTTGCCATTTGCAATACCTCTGAAGAGATCACAAAGCTCTAAAATATATCTCTCCACCAAAAGACCCTTTTTCGGTTGTAGCATGAGGGATCTGCCCATTAGAATAATGTGCATGCCAGATTAATTTCACCCAGGGAACCTCCTTCTTGCTGTAAAATTTGTCTGTGTTTAAGCAAGAGAGCAGAGTTTTGACTTCTGAGGTTAATGATGCCCAGACCACCTTTTCTTTTTGGTTTAGAACATTTTTTCCAAGCTACTAGGGGTTTCATCTTGGCATTGATGTCAGATCCTCTCCAAAGGCAATCGTCTAGCTCTGTCAATGTAGTCAAGGACTACAACTGGCAGCTGTAAAGAGCACATTGCATATGTTGGTAATGAAGAGAGTACTGAGTTTACCAGTTCTAGCCTTCCAGCATGGGATAAGAAGTTTGAAGTAGTCGTAAGTCTTCTTTCCACCTTGTTCATGATAAATCCAAAGTGGTAAACTCTAGGTTTGGTAGTTCCCATTGGCAATCCAAGATAAGTGAAAGGTAGAGACTCAAGTTTGCATCCAAACACCCCAGCCAATTGGAGAGCTTTTTCAGGCGAGATGTTCAAAGGAACTAGGCACGATTTTTTGAAATTGACCTTGAGCCCGGTTGACTGAGAGAAAGATTCCAAGAGGCCTTTTAAGGTGAAGAGTTCTCTCTGTGAGGCTTTCATGATTATGATAGTGTCATCAACATATTAGATGATAGGGAATTGGGCCATCTCGTAGGAGGCAATTGGGAGCTCAAACAAACCATCTCTATGGCCATTATTAATAATGCACTGAAGCAGATCGGCGGCCAACACAAACAGAAGGGGGGAGAGAGGGTCTCCCTGCCTGACTCCACGCTTGTGTATTGATGAGGAACCAGAGGCTAGAATTCTTTGAGTCCAGTCACACCTTTGAGAAGTATTGATGAGGAACCAGAGACTGGCACTAATGAATATATTCATATGCCCAAGCAAGGCAATCCTGTATTGTCCTGGTCTTAATGAAGCCATATTGATTTGTGTGGATGAGGGAGATTATCTTTGATTGGAGCCTGTCAGCCGTAAGCTTTGTAATGATTTTTTAGGACACAGTTTAGAAGAGATATGGGTCTAAAATCATTCACATTAACACGATTGTTTTTGTTTTGGGAATGAGGGTGATGAAGGAATTATTTATGGCCTGAAGATCCAGTGAGCCATTGAGGAAGTCACAGCATAGGGTGTAGAAGTCCTCTTTTATTATTTCCCAACAACTCTTGAGGAAGAATCCATTGAACCATCTGGTCCCGGGGCTTTATCAGCAGGCATTTGCTTGATTACTGCATCAATGTCCTCAATGGTGAAAGAATCCATTGAGGCTTAGTAGTTGTGTCAACATGTAGTATGTTCTGATTTTTTTTTTTTTTTTTTTTTTTGAGGGGATGTAGTATGTTCTGTTGCCATAACATGCATTGGACAATAACTCCTTTTGGATCTAGTGTTTGTTGTTTTGAGGCTTAGTAGCTGTGATGTATTGGTGAACATCATAATTATATATTGTGATATGCAATGTACCTATTAATGAATGCACGTAATTACTGCTCATTGGATCGTGTTCATCTAGTAGAATTTGAATTTTGTATTTGAATTCAAATTCAAATTTGCATATAAATTATAATTTGCCATGCAATAAAATTTCTCTGCGGAACTTGTTCCTAGGGAGGTAGAATTAGTTCCATAGAGATCATTTAAAGTCCTAGGGAAAGCAACTTTACATGTAGGATGGATCCTGGTGGTGTCGGCAGATTTCTGTAGAGACGGAGCGAAACTGAGATCCCCTAGGGTTTCTCAGGAAATTGTAGGGCAATAACTTGTTTCCCGTCAAAACATACCCTAGGAGATGTTCCCTACGAAACACCCTAGGGAACTGGTTTCCCTACGGTTTTCGGCCTTTTCCTAGGAATGAACTCTAGGGAAACAGGTGGATTGCAGTAGTGGATATTTGCCATGGTTCCAATGTTGATCCAAACGTTCAAGGTCTTTCTCTGACTTTGTGACGACCATCACCACGTCAAACATGCCTTTGTCGGCTTGTAGCGGGGGATGTTCTCATAGTCATGTAAATGGTCTCACTAAAATGTGGCTCCAGCCTTCTGAAAAGTGATGATACAGGGTCATCCTTTATATACTCCAGCTGCTCCCACACATATGGATAGGCAGGGTTGGAACATGCATCTAGGCTGGTCGGTTTAATACAAACACCAATAAGATCGCCTGTCTTATTCGCTAGGGCCACTGGGCATTTGATGAGCTTGTTTGCTTGAAGGGAAACCAAATATTCAGCGGGTAGACATCCAGCACCTAATAATAAATATATAAGGATATAGTCTCGTCAAAGGATTAGGACCTGATGGAATCAATGATAAATTGATAATACCCCTTCCGGTCATGAAAAAGCATGGTGTTAATGAAAAGATTTGATCAATCTTAATAGTTAAATAAAAGGCACCAATATCTTTTTAATTGTTGAATTAATTTAAGCATATATTATACAAGAAATGAATTTTCAAAGATATGCATTGGATCCACATGAAAAAATCAGTGAGCAACTGTATTTTGAATTCCCCTTAGCGTATAGATAGAAAGTCTTGTAATTTACCTTTTTTTCTTTGTCTGCTTTTTTTTCCTTAATTGACCCCGGATCTCTTGACCTTGTAAACCTTTTTAATAACATATCTAATATATATTGACCGGTCGGCAAAGGCCTCTGATCCCTTCTACTCCCTCTGTCCTGAAATATAGTGCAATCTAGTCATTCTCAGACAAAATAAGAGAGAGTGCAATAGATGCATGTACCCCTCACTTAACTTCCTAATAATCTATTAAAATCCGATTCTATTCCGCATGATTAAAAGCTCATACAAAATATGGCAAGTACATGAATTACTTTCCTTATATAAAATAATCATGTATCTTTATTTAAGTAAATATTATCTTCTTGTTCCCGGAATGCACTATATTTCATGACAAATTTCAAATGCCAGAGTTTACAGTATTTTAGGACGGAGGGAGTAATAATTCCTAAAAGCACTTAGGCCTTGTTTGGAGATACTCTCATATTCATCTCAATTCACATGTGTTGAGGTGGATTGTGGTGTAAATTAGTTTAAGTTCCACCCAATTCATGTGAAATGATCCAAAGCCTTGACAAACTAGTGGTATATATTGGATTCCATCTGCATGTAAGCAATTCCCATGCATATGGCAGCAAACAGGAAAAACGAATGCATTAGTCGTGGAGTCTAGGTTACCAGAGAAGAACGATGCTAGTGATGGTTCAAGTACCATTTTGCACTAGTGTACAAGATGACATTTAATGCAAGTTTAAAATATTTTTAAAATGGCGTTTTGCACATAATTCAACAAAATTTAAATTTGTTGTAGATTTTAAAATGTCAAAAAAAAATTATCATACGGCAAAAAACAGGATGCTAGGCCATTGTGAGAGTATGCTATATACATGTGATGATTACACTTACTTGCGTTGCCGATGAAGCACGGATGTCAGTTTCAATGAAACCGCACGTACGCTCCATTTGGTCCAGCCTCTCAATTATATAAAGTGTATGTGGCCTATCTGCTGGGTTACGGTCAATGCACTGTCTTCCAATCTCCGCACATACTCTCACATATTGCAACCATATGTCTTCCTGCGACGATTGTTTGAACCTAATACTCCAACTTTGAAGTACCTAGCTAAGAAATAGCAAATATGAGCAAGGGTTTGTCCAATAAATGGAAATCCAATGTACATAGCACATGTAAATAAACAACTTGTCCATAGTGGAAGAAAATTATTTTCATACCCCTACCCTAATTAAATGTGGTCAGGGGAGACGTAAGGATCATACTGGAGAATCCCTAAGAGAAATAAAAGTCTATAAAATCATCTCTAAGAGAAAAATAAGCCTAAAATTCGAACTCAATCCATTTTCAGTCAGTCCAACGACCCTTGTCTAGTCAAGCACCCCCTGTCCAGCTTGTCTAGCTATGCCACTGAATGCAGTAAAAAAGAAATGGTTATATTATATTACATTTAATAAGGCATGCATGTATACTCATTTCGATTTGAGTTATTTTAAAACTAGTATGTGCTTGTTTTGTGTGCACGGTGTACTATATATGGACAAGTATCCCAGAATAGTGGGAGTAACACGTGCAAACCAAGTTGGTATCAAACTTAGAACAAAGCACACACAAAGCACAATCAATTAAATTAACACTACTCCTATGTGACTTGCATTTCGAGATTTGATTTAACCTGCTGTAAGTAATAGCTTGTGCGTGACTATATACGTTCAGTTCTATGCCACATTTTTCCTATTTTGTCCTGTGTATCTTTTGCCTACAGCTCGATTGCTTATTTTCCAATCTTCCAATTTTATAAGTTAACTACCTAGTGCATGCATGGAGAAAAATATGGTTCAATGCCTTGCAGTTTCTTTTGTTTCCACTGCTAATTCAACTTCATACCATGTTTACGCAATCCTAAGCTCAAGTTGATGTATATAAATATATAACCAAATGGTGGATTTCAAGACATTCCTATAATACTTCCTCTAGAAAACTCATATAAAATCAGTAGAAAAGAAAAATCATATAAACTTTAGCAGTTTTTTTTAGGGATCAGCAGGAGTTGCCCCTTACTGTTTATATATATTTTAAATAGATAAAAAATATCGTACAAAACAAATATAAACTTTATTGTTGGTCAAGAAAAGGGAGAAACGGTAACATGACATTGGAGGGGCCAGTATCAACTACTTAGTTCTTCTATAATAAATAAGAACTGTAATTTTTTTTAATAACAGGGTTCAGAAACACAGAACAAAGTACATTGTATAAGGCTTGTAGTTGTACAGTGGACAAACCCCATTATTGCAGAAGCTAATCAGACGGTTATTTTAAGCTCGATCATTTATTAGTCTTGGAACATGCTGTTCTTACATTCTGAATGTCGCAATAACCCTTCCGTCCAGTCAATATCTCCATGGTTATAATACCGAAACTATATATGTCGGACTTGAATGTGATCACTCCATCATAGGATTCCGGTGCCAAGTATCCCCTGCAAGGGAGACGGAGATCTTGTGGTTTGAGTCACTTAAAAAGAAAAGGACTGCAACATGTCTTCATTCAGCAGTATATTTGCAGTTTCGTGGTCCGAATGGTAGTAGTACCAAGAGAGAAGTGCTTTAAAGATGCTTTGCTTACTTACAATGATCCCATCACTTTTGAAGTTATAGTCTTGCTTTGTTTTCCATCAAAGCACCTTGCAAGACCAAAATCAGAAATTTTTGGTACCATGTTCTCATCAAGAAGTATATTTGCAGGTTTGAGGTCTGAGTGAACCATATGCATATCTTGGTGAAGATAATGTAAACCCTCACAAATTCCCTTGATTATTTTATAGCGCGTCGTCCATTCAAGTCCTTGAGATATATCTGCAAAGTGTATTTTATTTTAGTTTGAGGGGTATGGATATTAGGATACGTGAAGTCCTTCGCATTTCGTCTTTAGTTTCGTTCATACAAAACAAATCGAGGAATGGAACAAGTTGTTAATAAACAGAATGCTAAGTAATATCTATAATTTTGAATGCTAGGAACAGGAAAACGAAGGCATTCAACTTACATGGGTCTCTGGATTTTCCAACAAAAGTAAAATCGAAAGGAAACATACCAGTGATATACTTGTCAAGACTCCCTTTGGGCAGGAACTCAAAGCAGAGCAATCTTTGTCGTTCTTCAGCCAGGATCATCTTCCCCTCATAGTTCAACATTTTTCCTTGTGTGTCATAACAGTACCCCAAAAATCGCACTACATTCTTGTGCTTTGACTTCATAAGACAACCAACCTCTTTGATAAATTTCTCCTCATCCATATCAAGATTGTGGAACAGCTTCTTCACAGCGATGACTGTCCCATTCTGAAGTTCGCCCTACAGTGACAAAGTTGCATTATGCCTTTTAGATCAGAATAAGGACAGTTGGGATCGAGTTACTTGTAAGTATTTACCTTGTACACATTTGCAAACCCACCACTGCCAATTTTCCTATGATCAGAGAAATCAATCGTGATGGCCTTGAGAAGCGATAATGGCAGGTTTATGGGCTCTGCACTTGGATCAAGCAGCATGCGCTCCAAGAGATGTTCCATGCTAGCTTCACAGTCCATTTCTTATAATCACATAGGAATGTAGTCTTCAGTCCAAACAAGAATTCAAGAAGCATCACAAAATGTTCTCTTAAAGGAAAAAATCAACTTTGTCCCTTTTTTTTTTCTTTTGTTCTTCAAACTTGATCAACCTTTCCGATCGAGCTTACTAACAATCCCCAGATCAGTAAAACAGGTTACTAGGAAAAGGTCACCGGGTTAAGATTTTTCAGCAAGTTACACATAGAACAATCCCTGGATCAGTAAAACAGGCTACTAGCAAAAGGTCGCCAGGTTAACATTTTTCAGCAAATTACACAGAACAATCCCCGGATCAGTAAAACAGGTTACTAGCAAAAGGCACTACGTGCGTACTCAGGCATGGATGGAGAGAAGTCATTGGAAGAATCGATCACTAACCTGAAAGAAGATTGAGGCCTGCAGCCCTGCACGCAGGTTGCAAAGCACTGCTGCCTTCAGATCCGGAGAAGAAGAGTGCCCGCCTTGGTCGATAAATACAATGCTGTCGATAAATACAATTGTGTAACAACAAGGATCGATCACGACCTTTACGTAATCTGTGGAGACCTCCGTGGACTTGGCCGGCTGGATCACTCGAAGGACCCTTCCTGTGGTAGGCCGTGGGTTCCGTGTCTAGTGAATCGGCCCATTAGCGATCTAACTGGGCCATGACAAAGCACATGCCAAAGTTGCTTATGGGCTCTACACTGAAATTCCCCTCGCTACAGTACACAAGGGCATAGGCGATTTCGAATCCGGCGTCGATCTCACCGTCTTCTCTTCGCGTACGGCGACCGTCCCGGTGCCGGAGGTGGAGAGGAGCCGGGGGATCGATGGCCGCTGTACATACCCACATCTAGTCCAGTTAGGTTACGGTTAGTTTTCTTCGCATCGAGGTCGTCGATGCGGAGTCCAGCGGATCCCAGTGGATCATGGTTGTGGCGTCCGGTTCTTTTGTCCCTCCACAACACCTCTGGCGGCTGCAGTAGTGACGACGCGTCTTCCGGAGATGGTGCTGCGAGGTATGCTTGCTCCTATCTAGAGAAATCGGGTTGGATTATCCCTTTTGGGGTTGCTTCGTCGTCGTGTGATTTTGGGTCGCCAGCGGTGCTTGTGGTGTCTGATCCCGTATCTCTCGATGATGATATGGCCGGTGGCCATCATTGTTTGCTTGGGCGTTCAGTGCTCCATGTGCACATCGGTGAGTCCAGTGTGCCAATCGTTGCAACATTAAAACTGTATGTGGCTTCTTTGGAAGCTTCTTCGTTGAGGTGGGAATTGGCTTCAAGCTACAAGCTCGGCGTTTATCTCTTCCAGGGGCGGCATTTCGGCGCTTCGAGCGGTGGCTCCGGTTGCCGGCGACGAAGACGACCAGGAGACCTTTGCAAGGACTTAGATGTAATTTTTTTTTATCAGTGGTGTCTTTGTAGGGTGTTTCTGTAATCCATATTATGAATGAATAAATGAAATGCACCCGGTTTTCTCAAAAAAAAAAGGAAAAAAGTAATCTCAAGAAAAAGAAAAAGGAAAAAGCCTATTTCACCTCACTCAACTATCGTCGTCGTTGTCACAAGACGATATACACGAGGAGTTATTCCAAAGCCTCTTCTCCATTCACTGCTTGATTTTTAGCTGGCCTGGACCTTACAAGAACCCAGGACTCCTTGATGAATGGTGCACAATCAAGTGCCCCTAGATGGCTTGCTCCACCAGCAGTAGCTGTAGCAAAGATTAATGTGAATTCCGCAGCTATCGGCAAGTCTTCGGAAACGGCAATAACTACTGCAGTAGTAAGGGATGAAGCAGGCACGTTCCTAATGATTGTGATGAAAAGGGTAACTAACCTAGAGACATTTGGAGACGATGGTGTGTAGAGAAGATCTGTGTTTAGCAAACGATCTTTATCTAAGGAAGGTCAAGCTGGCGACCGATTGTGTGAACATTGTTCGAGCCCTCAAGGAGGCCGCCATATCATTCGAGAAATCAAGGCAATGAAGGAGGCATTCCAAGCGGTGGAGTTTATACACGAAGGACGACCGTTGAACGACGAGTCCGATGGGCTTATGAAAAGGTCGATTTACGAGTCATTAGGAAGGCATGTATGGTTGAGTTTTCCCATAGGGAATTTGTAATCAGATTTCGCCTACTAACTAAGAGACGATCCTTAAAAGAAAACTATCGTCACCGTTCAATTTTTTCTCTTTGAACTTTACAAGGCATCTTACCTCTTGAACTATGAAAACCGTTGAGATTAACTCCATGCCCTTGTTTGAAGTGGTTGTTAAGATGGTTTCATTTTTTTAGTTAAAAATTGCAGTAATTATCTAATAAGGTTTTAAACCACAGAAAATCTCTCTAAACTTCAAAAAAAATCCGAGACAAGTCTTAGAGATAGATAGGAATACAACCAATCCAAATAAAATATTTAGAGCTTGTGAAATATGTCTAGAAGCTTCTAAAAAAATAGATTTTGCTCTAAAAATAGGAAATATATTTAGAAAATCTGGAGAATTCCTTTAACATTCTAATTGAAGAAGGCATTATGAGGTACGAGCTAAACGCGTTTTAAACATGTTCATGTTACTCATTCCATCTATGTTGCCAGTTGGGCCACTGTGCTATTTCACGGGCTATGTGTGTCTGCATGGCTTGCTTTGCTCTGCTTACCTGCGGCCTGCCATCTCATTTTCTGAATCACATCTTTCGGTGGTACTCCATCGATTCCTACAATCTACCTCGCCTTCCAGGAAAAAAAAGGATTATTTACTATACCTCAAAAGACCATTTATCTCCCATTTTCTCGGTAAATAAATTAATGCAATAATAGGAAGAGCAATCACCAGATAGACATAGACATAGTTACCCAAGCGTTGTATTAGTTGCTCTTTTACTGACATTTCACAATGACAATTACATCAAAGAGAGAATGCTCCTGCAGCCTGACATGTAGTTTTCTGAGACCACAGCGTCTGTGGTCCACTGATGCTGATGTATGCCAGCCTCAAACAAAGTCTCTTTCCACTTCTTTTTTTCTTGGGTATAAAGAAAAATATAAGACGGCTGATGGATTGATGCCTATCATTTTAGTGGAATATCTGGGCCACATGCTGCTACCGGGGCCGACCTAGGTAGTGCCGTCACTCAAAAATTGTTATTAGTGATTCTAGATTATTTTTCACCATTGGCGCCGCCACACAAGTGAATGGCAAGACCCTCATATAGCAAGAAATACAAGGTTAATCAGATGATGATCATTAGTGTGCCCCCAGCAATTTTTCTCCTGGGTCGTGCTGCTAGTTGCTGTCACGGAAATGAACGTACCATCCCTAGCTCACAGTTACAGTACATCAGTAACCTAGTGTGTTGAAAAATTCATGGCTGGCGACCAGCCTACTCTGCACCCAGTTTATTGTTCACTGCAAACTAAAACAGATTCTGCCTACTCAGCTTATTATGAACTCTGTAAAATGTTGAAACTGCTCAATGGGCTGCATTGTCTTTTTAGAAGGATCTCTAACTACATTGTCAAGAAGTAATGCATCCACTTATCATTATCACTGCTCTGCTACTGCCGGAAGATACACAACTGGAAACCCCAATTGTCAAATATGATATGAACACCAATTCCATGTGCAGATGTTCTCCACATGGTCACATGGAGAAGACAGCACACACACACACACAATCTTTTGGATTACTCTTGCTTTTGAGAAGTTTCTTGGGATCTCCAAGCTAAAGAGAGGGACCAATGAACTACCTGTCCTACCACTAACCAGGATCCCAAGTCACAAACCGCGTACTTGCCTCTCACCAAACCCTGGCCGGACATGGACGGTCGCCGGAGCTGCGGTTGTTGGCACGCCAGCGTAATTCCAAAAACTCCGTTGGAGCTGAACTCATGTACCATGTGATAACTGATTTGCAATCGACTTGCAACCTACCTAAAAGCTTTCTAATCCCATCAACAGACGACATCATAAACTATAATGATCCAACAGCATAACTAAAAGCAGAAGAAGGCACCACCACAAGAAAGAAACATGTTACCTGAACTGAATGAACTTTTAGATTTGGTTATAAACAATTAAACGCTGAACTGAACAAAGATTTTTGCATCACAAAAATAAAACATATGTATCCACCAAGAAACACTAGTTAACCCTCTCTAAATCACCTCACAGTTTTTCTTTCATCTCTGTATCCCTCCATTTATTTATTACAATTCACCACCTCCTTTGCAGTGACATGACACATGTGACAAGCTGAAGCTGCCCTACCTCGCCGGCCGGCCGGAGCAGAGGAAGCAGAGCACGTGAAGCAAGGTCGCCTCGACGTCGCTAGACCTCGACGCGGCAGTACGTGGCGGTCTGGAACCTGAGCCCGTGGGCCCCGACCGCACCGCCGTACCCGCTGCCGGCGCCGGCGTTGATGAAGTACGCCGGGCAGGTGACGAAGATATGGTAGTGCCCCGACACCCAGCTCCCAACCTTCCACCTGACGCGTCCATCGATCCTGACCTGCAAGATGAGGTACCCGGCGGCGATGTCCTTGTTGAGCGCGTCGGCGAGGAACGGCGCGAAGGGGACGCCGGGTCCCGCCAACACGGGCGACCAGACGTCGACGTCGCCGTGGCCCTGGTACACCCCGGGCGGCTGCAGCCTGGAGTTGAGCGTGACCTGCTGGTACTTGTAGGACGCGGAGACGTCGAGGCGGTCGTAGTAGACCCCGACGCGCCCGTTCGGGTTGCGGGAGGCAAGCGTCACCTGCGCCGTCGTGGAGAGGAGCGGCGCCGTGCCGTTGGTCAGGTCGAGCTGGCGGAGCGAGGCGTCCTGCAGGTAGAAGCTCGGGTGGGTGGGGCGGAGGACGAGGTAGATGACGAGCGCGATCACGCCGGCGAGGAGGGCGAGGGTGAGGAGGATCAGGAGGAGGCGGCGGCAGGATTGGCGGAAGTCGTCGTCCGCGTGGTTGCCGCAGTCCTTGCCCATGGCTGGTGTTCGCTG